AATATTATTTTCATGCTGCAATTTGTATATTTGTATAACGTGTATTATATAATCAATTTATCTAGGACATTAAATACCACAACAAACCAAATAAAAATATATTGTTTATTGTTTATTGTTTATATTAACACACTTTCTCTCATTTGAAAAAAAGGATTTCCTTCTGCAGTTGATTACGGTCAATTAACAAGTGGCAAAATTAATTACCACTCACATCGGATCTTTTCAATATTGTAAGTGTGTTGTCCAGCATATATTGACTGGTGTTAATGGTTTGTGTAGGTGTATAGGCTCTTGATAAGAGTGGTAAAGTGGAATGAGAAGTTGAGAGCAATCTTGATGTGTTTGATTTAATCGGGGATGATAATACTTTTGCGGTGAAGAAGAAGATTAAAGAATGCAGTGCTAGAAGTAGATGTGGTGGTGATGGTTTTACTAATATATTTTATTAATTTATTGCAAATATATTTGTTTTCAAATGTCTTCTTCCTACACCCGAAGATTACTATTCCCGAGTGCAATTACCAGCTCTTTGAAGAGATTACTATGCAAATTCTCGATTCTTGCGAATGAATCTTAATGAAGGTCAACTCGAAAATTATCATGTCTCTTTCGGTTCACAGTGAAATCTGTATGTAACTTCTTAAAGCCATCCGTTACCTGACTTTTTCAGTTGAAACCTAAAACCGCGATAAAAAATATTATTTAAAAGAAAAAGTCGCACAAGTTTGCAATTGGTGCCGTGCCCACAGGAACTCGGTTGGAAGAATCGGTAGTTACCAGGCATGTTATGCAAGCATCATGTTGACGTTTCCTTTAACTATTCTTTATTCAGTTAACCTTTACATTGTCTAATGGTGACATTTGTGGTCCCTATTGCTCTGCTGTTCTTAAGACTAGGTTTCTGAATGTTATCGAATATAAGGATAGCTTACATTTATGTGAAATACTCTATCAGAAGAAATAAAAAAAATCATTTCTGCCAAATCGTATTATTGAACTACGTTCATTAAGCGATTCACTCCAGCACCTCCATAAGGAAATGTTAGTATGGATGGATGGAGGAATTGAGGTAAGCGGACAGTGGTGATAGGTGTTTGGTTGTTATCTTGTTTCCTTATAGATTATTCTGCTTATTTACTATTGTTATAATTACGCTTATCTAGAAGGAGTATCAATTGATACTTTTTAACATATGATGTGAATCTAGACATGACACCAATAACAATATCATTTGGCAAGAGCTTGTAAACCCTATCCAAGCCTTCATAAGTTCTTCTTGGATTTGCAAGACATCCTTTGATGATGAATAACTCTCTGCAGGATCATCATGGTAATTTATTAACATCATCATTATTTTTCACTTGAATTGAGGGTTATACTTGTACTTTAAATAAAATTTTATTGTGTAAAAAATTATAATAGTAATAAAAAGAAAAAATTCTAGCAAAATAAAAAAGTTAAAAAATAGAGTATAATATAATGTATAATATATAAAACATAATATAAAACATAATTTAATCATAAAGCGAATATACATATTTACAAATTTTAAAGTAATAATCTATTAATAAAAATATATAAAAAAATCAAAAGAACTTCTAAAATAACAATGGTAACACATTATCATCCAAATCATCGCCAACCCAATCACTACTAAGCTCCATAATTCTAGCTTCAATTTGACTTTGCTCAATTACTTGTTGCACCATTGAATCATATAACCAATCAAGAACCGATGCTTCTTTAATTGATTCTACCATTATGTTATTATTTAATAGCTCTTCTTCTTCTTCTACCATCACTTGTTGTTCATCATTAATCGTTTGTTGAACATGAATACCATCATTATCATCCTTTTCATTTTTTAAAGGAGGAAGAAGTTCAGGTAAAGCAACAGGATTTCGAAATAGAGCAGAAATCATTTGTTGTTTAGGTGTAGTAACAATTGCTTCTAAAAACAAAGAAGTGATTTGTTGTACAAATGTAGAAACCAGTACACAAGCAAACCAAAACTTTTGGTTTTTGTTAATATCGTTATTATTATTATTATTACAAGTGTCAAACTCGTTAATGTCTCTTAAAATTGATAAAATATTTGGATAGTTACCGTAAAGATTTGAATATGAAAAACCCACTTTTTCTTCAAACAAATGTTTATTGAAATTAAATTCAGGAACAAATGTGGTTTGTACTCTGACACGAGAATCTTGCCAAATTTTTTGTTTTGTCGTATTTGATGACGAAGATGAAGATGTAGGAGATGCGTCTTTATTAACATTTGGAATTACCAAGTAACGAGAAGTTGGTGAAGCTGGTTGATGAGCATTTGTAATTGATGGTGATGATTTACTTTTTTGTAAGTTGCCGTTACCATTGTTAATGTTGTTGATATTTGTAAATTTAGGCGCTGTTACATTCATGTTATTGAAATCTGCTGATGATAATGTAGTAGGATTATGTGGAGGTGAAAGTGGTGATGTTATATACGATTTATTGGATTGATTAGATTTACGCAAGTCTTCTACTTCTTGTTTCAATTGTGTATTCTCTTCTTGTAAATGTAACAGAGCTTGTTTAAGAATGTTTATTTCCTCTTGTTGTTGTTCTTTTAATGATGCAAGACTTTGAATGTATTCTATATATACATATGTATTGAAGGTTAGTAATTTCATAATTTAATGTTATTTTTTGGATATTAATAATAATACCTTTTCTTCTGACACGGAAGTTCCTAGCAGAAATCTTATTACGTATTTGTCGACGTTCTTTTGATGATAATTTTTTAATATCGTCTGACAATAC